TGCAGTCAGTCAGAAGCTAATGAATCATGCAGTGTTCTTACTTTTTGCATAGAGTCTTATGAAAACTGTATATTCCCTGTATATGCAGACCAGTCATGCTCCCATTGTGTATTCACCCCCAAAGGCCCAGTTTGAGCCAGGAAAAACCCTGACACTCTGAGTATTCATGAATTCTCTTTGTCATTTTCGTTAGTTAAAGCAATTTAAAAGGTGTCCATTGACGTCTTTAAGTAATTGGGTTTTCCTGACCAACATAATAACACAAATATTTAAAATGTGGAAAAGCAGCACATCAGTATTTGAGAAATGGAGTCTGCTGAATGCCTGTACATTTTGCTTAAAGCGTCTCAAATAGGGATGGGTACCGGTATCCGTTGCCATTATGGCACCAGTACTGACATAAACGGTAGTAACCAGACCGAAAAGCAGCGCACATTTCGGTGTTTTATTTCGGTGCTTCTTTTTTTTTTCCTGAGATGTCATACACTTTGGATTCCAGCCAATCATTTTACCTTTGCGAGCGTAGTAGGCGGGCCCAGGTACGTACGTTCTTTCAGAGCAGAGCTACAGATTAAAAATCCCCAAGGCAAAGCGGTCAAAAGTCTGGCTGTACTTCACAGCAAAAGATGCAAACTCAGCAGCCTGCAACAAGTGCTTTAAGGTGATACTGTGCAAAGGAGGTAACACCTCGAATCTGATGAAACACCTGGCGACGCATAGTGTTTTGTTAAAAGCCGAGAAATGCACCATATTTGATAGCTTGCTGCGAGACCTCACATCGTGCATGTCTACTGCGGGTGTGTTGCCTGTTATCGGACCCGGAGTTGGCAACATCCCCCAAAAACCCGAAGAGTAGAGTCCTGGCCCCTAGCCCTGCCAGAGTAGCAGAAATGATGACGGATGATGATGGCAGCAGCAGCCGTTCTTCTCTGTGTGAGTAGCTTAATGTTGTCCGTGTGTAATTTACGCTGAGTAAGCTAACCACGTTATTACATTAATGCATGTAAGGTGAACTAGCAAACACCGCCGTAGTTACATGCGGCTGTCTTCTTGTTTGATGGCAGATACTCCCTTCACGCTGGCCAAAAAGGCTAAAATGACCAAAGAAAAAGTGGAAAACAGCTAAACATGAGAGGTTTCCATTGTTTAAGCACTGCTTCTAGCCAAGAGTGATGAGAGCAGCAGAAAAGGCTAACATTGTTATCTTTTTACAAAAAAACAGCTGAACATGAGAGGTTTTTGGACCAATTTTGTGTTTTCCATTCTTTAAGCACCGATTCGAGCACCGTTTAAGCACAGGCACCGTTTCAAAACTACCGGTTTGGTACTGGTATCGGATAAAACCTAAACGATACCCATCCCTAGTCTCAAATGAGAAATCTTGTTAATAAATGTACTTTTGGTCGTCAGCTTCAGCCCCACTGCTGCACACGCTGGGCGTGCAGGCCCAAGTGCCAGAGGGGGCACATAAACATGCATGTGATCATCATGATCCAAATGATGAATAATTCCAGCTTGAGATTAGGCATAATTGCAAAAGTCATCTGTACACATTACAATATGTATACAATTGCCTGAAACATGAAAAGTAACCATGAGATCACTCTCACACAACTTCAGCAGAAGTCCCGTAATGCAATAGAGCTGCACCGTTATTAAAGGCAGTTCGTCCCCTTAACCAGTACTCCCATTCATCATCAGTGAAGGAGCCGCTGGAGTTAGTTCCATTAGCATACAAACAGCTCTCCCTGCAGCTGCTGGAAAACACTGAATAATAACAAATGAAAACACAGCGTGGGATCATTTGTTATCAAACTGCTAATGGACTCTGAGGAGCAGGCGCAAAGCGGCATTAATCATTGGAGTGAACACAGGTGATGCGCGCTGTAACATGACAGAAACAGCTGATGAATATCTTGAATGAGACAGCGGAACAAGTTAATGAAATGCTCAATAATGACGCAGAGGTGTTTGAGAAACTCGACAATGCTGAAGTCCAGCTGCGCCTGAAGTCCCCTCCACATGCAGTTCGTTCATCTGGACAATGACCTGCGTAAGCGCTCAGCGGAGGGCTGTATTGAGATTGTGATCGTGCATCTGTGTGACTGAAACCTGTAGAGGCACAAGACAAATGTCCAGGTGTCTCAATGTCGTAGTGTGTCTGAATGATAAAGTGCCTCATTTATTCTTTGTAGGTTTTTCTGTCCTTCTTTGTATTGTTACCAACTTTTCTCTACCTTGAAACATCTTTTCTGGGTGTCTGTGTGCTCTTGCCATTTATGAAATCTCTGCATATGAAGAGGTTGTGTCCATGTATTTAAACTTTACATATCATAAATAAACTGATAAACAAGATGCCTCCAAACTCCCAGGTTAAAATGCTCCAACGTACCAGCATCAAAAAGCATGTTTACAGACTGATAGGTTGTGTAAACCATCATAGAAATTGTATGGTTGGTGATTTTCTTTATAGTTCATTCATTTGGACACCGGGATAGTTTGGGCCATTGACAGGTGTGCTGACACAGGTGCTGTAGCTCAAATATTGCCTCCTAGGCTTCATGCTACAGTCACACTAGGGACAGTAGTTGGAGACTGAAGCGCAGCTAAATTTATTGCTTTGCACTTCAAAGCAACCATTTCAAAGGCAGCTCACCATCAGCTGCCGTCTTCAAAGCAGCAGGGGTGCATCAAGACAGCAATAAAATGGCAAGAAGACAGAGTCAGAGTCTACTCTCTGTCAGGTTTTGATTGAATGGGGTCTATTTGTCAACTACATGCAATCTATCGGGGATCAAATGGCAATCAACTGTAATAAATCACAAATCTTTTGCCACCTGTTGCAAAACTGTTCCTGTGAACATGAAGAGAAGTTTGCATTAAACAAAATTCATTACTCTGGTCCTGGCCTCCCTGCACTGGCTTCCAATTGAATTTAGGATTCATAAAGTTCTTTTATTGGTTTTTTAAATCTTTAAATGGTCTGGCACCTGCGTATCTGTCTGATTTGCTGAAGCCCTATGTCCCCACTCGTTCACTCCGGTCAGCTGAGCAGCTGTTGCTCTCAGTCCCCAAATCACGGCTGAAACTGAGAGGAGACCGAGCGTTCTCTTTCGTGGCTCCTAAACTTTCGACATCAGTGCTGGTTTTTAAATCCAGATTGAAAACGCATTTTTATTCACTGGCTTTTGACTCAGTGGTTGACTGACTATTTTATTGTTTTCGCTATGTTTATTATTTTATCGTATTTATTATTCTTATGGTATCTATTATGTTTCTATTGGTCAGCACTTTGGTCAGCCTTGTGTGTTTTTAAAGTGCTATATAAATAAACGATGATGATGATGATAAACAAAATTCACATTAACTTACATTTAGTCCACTCAGAAGCTCGTAGATTTGAAGTGTGAAATTTAAAATTTCCTTGACAAATAGTGACGTAATTGCTTCAGGACAGCACTTCAGTGGTAAAATGCTAAATGTGACTATGGTGCTCGGTGTCCTTGCTTTTATATAGGACTGAAACCAGAATAGAACCAGTTGAGTCCGCTAGTGCAAAGAGATGCAGACAAGTTGTGCTCATCAGCCCAGACTGACTGTTTGATCACAGAGTGGTGTCAGTCTGTCTGCCATTCAAAATTCGACGGCAGTTACTGCAGAGCATCGTTACCTCCCGCCAGGTAACCAGCTTCTGATCACAAGTCATCTGCTTTATCTGCTTTATCAATTTGTAGTTGGTCACTGAATAAAAATAAAACAATTAAATGACATCACCATTAACCACCTTTCCTGGAAGGGCTGTTCTATATAACGATATATATCGGATGACGATATGAAAGCGTCTATCGTTTCATTTTATACTATCGTTTGTTTTGTGGTGTCGCAAAATAAACTGTTTACGGCAAAAAATATTCATCATTTTGATGGTCGCTGTGTAGGATTTCTTAAGTTCTATCTTTCTCTTATATTTAATATAACTACAATACAGACAGACAAGCAACTCTTTTTATGCGTTGCCATTAGCAACAACGACGGTAAAACCATTGTTTGACTCTGCCGTCCGCTTGTTTATTTTCTACATAAACCTTTCACAATAAAACTGAAGAGCCTGCTGAGATTTTTCAAAATAAACTGAATCACATGAAATGTTTTGTCAGAGTGTTCACAGACGGGAAGCTAAAAAGAGCTGTCAGGTGTAATAAATACAAAGAAAATTGCAGCCATTTCAACTTATGTAACACGACTCCAGGTAAACAACGCCCAGCTGAAAACACTTCACGTGAGTCGAGTTGCCCGAGATTCACAGAATTTACAGAAAATGTAAAATTTTTGTGATATATATCATTGTCAGGACGATAAAAGTCTTATATCGGGATATGAGATTTTGGTCATATCGCACAGGCCTGTTTCCTGGTCACAACCAGACTGCCATTCTGCTTTTATTCTAGTGTGGCTGAGCCAGCAGTGAGCCCCTAAACCTGACCTCTGCACTCTGCTTGTGGTGATTCTTAGTAGAAATCTATAAAAATATGACCGCTGTGACGTTAGCTGATAAGTTAGAGCACCATTCTTTCTTCTAAATACGCTAAGTTTTAGGTCTAAAAATATAGAAATATATATATATATATATATACATATATACATATATATATACATATATACATATATATATATACACACATAATTTCCAGCGGTAACAACAGTGAACAGGCTTCAGAATGCTGAGTCCAAAACCAGTGTGTTATGTTACAGTGGTAATCTTTTATATACAGTTTATGGAGGATCCCTACATCAACTTATGACTGCGTACTTTTGTCCTGGTGCTCTTTTCACTAATGGCTGTGAGCTGAAATTCAGGTAAATGATAATGACACAGGCAACTTTGTGGCAGTTTGGGATGGCCGTGCTTTTTCAGCAACCTCAGGACTCAGCATTGTGTTGATCCGTGGTACACTTTTAGTCAAGCGGGATTCTAACCTTTAACCCTGTGTTGGTCACAGGCCTGCAGGAAGGCACGGAGGGCCAGCTGGGCCACTTCACCCTGGTGTGCCGAGACTCAGCTGGAGAACAGTTGGCGCGAGGTGGAGAGCACGTCCTCGTGAGCGTCGTTCACACAGAGAAGAAAAACTGGTGAGTGGGGGGACAGCGTGTGGCGTGCCTGGTCAGCATTTTAACTCCCTGAGCATTTCTGACTCAGCAAATCATACAGAAGACACATTTAGTTTAAAAAAAAACAAAGTTTTTTGAAACTTAACTGCTGAAGTGTCCCGGAGCAAGGACCTAATTAAAAAAAAACAAACAAACTGATCATGTGACTGAAGTGATGTGAGGTTTTAAAACTCTCAAGAAGGAGATGCAGCTGCCAGCACACAGCAGCTTCAGTGTCAAGGCTGTTGAAGATTTTTTTTCTTGGGCCGTGTGACACCCCCAGCTGCTCAGAACAGGTCAACAGAGTACTCTAAGCCTGAGTGCTGTGCTATTTTTGTTACTTGGGTTGAAAGAGGCACACTCTTATTGACCTCCGTAACATCACATGAATCATTTTTATTCACATTCATGATCAAACAGTGTGTAACTTTGAAAACAAGGGCAGCAATATCAGGAAGGCTAGTATCTGTTTAGTATCTGCCAGCACAGCCGTCTGCATGCATGAATGTCTTTGAGTTATTACCTAAAGTCAGCACATGTGTGTGTGTGTGTGTGATCACTGGTGTTTTGGATGTCTGAAATAAGTTAACCTTCAGACTGAGAGGTGAGAGTGAGAGTATAACTCAAAGCTCGGACAGGTCATCCATGCTCTCAGAATGTGCAGATTCAGAATCCAGCACTGATGTTTTGAGAGCAGTTTACATCTATGTGCTATCAGTTGCGGTTTTAAAGTGATATTTTATATTATTAATAAAATGTTTTTTTATTTTCCATCAGTAAAGTGGAGACGACTGTGACTGACAACAGTGACGGGTCCTACAGTGTGTCATACACACCACAGCAGCCAGGAGCGTACTCCGTGTGGGTTTGTGTCAAAGCCCAACATGTCAAGGTATTTTAAACTAAAGTGTCGAGACTGTAAGTTTTAATTTGGTTTGTTTCTCTTACGCCCCGTCTAAGGGGCCGGGACACAAAATGAGATAGGGACAACAAACTTACCCAAGACTCAAGCAGCCACAGTTTTTTCACAGTTTCATAATTAAGGCCATCTTCAGTTGATACATGGGTACACACTTTCACTTCATGGGGTAGTTTCCTCTTTATATAATATTTACATGTCGAAACAAAAATATAACCTCTGTCGAAACAGTTTGAAAACAGTAGCTGTGTTTCACAGCTGAGATATGAATTATTGAAATAATAAGCTGACTGCTAGACGGAGCCGTGGCCTTGCTAGCAGTGCACAGCTCGTCACTTCAGGGCTCTCTACATCCTCCTGACAAATCAAGTTATTATGCACAACGTTGTCCTTAAGCAAGAAGAATCCCTGTAACAGCTCTTGTGCCAACCGACACTGGTTGACTGCCTCTGTGCTGTCTGTCTCTGCAGGGCTCTCCATTTGTTCTGAATGTGAAGAGGAAGTTCAGGCGTCACAGAGGGACGTTTCACTGCTGCTCCTTCTGCTCCAGCGGAGGAGCCAAAGAGGCTCGCTGCGGCTGCCCGGGAACCATGCCAGGTACGCAGGAGATAACTTTCATATGTCCTGTCTGAAGGAGCAGGTGTACAGTGAACAAACTTTGGGGTACACTGTGCTGTTGACTAGAACACACAGATGAAGAACAAAATTAAGTTAAGATTTTCACAGGATCTCGGCACCATCATCTGTGCACTTTGTGTTTTTAAGCTAAACCAGCTTTCCTCACACTCTCCGTGTTCTATTATGTTTCAGGTTATTTGATTCATAAAAGCAGCAGATGTTTGAAATATAGTTCCTTAGCATCACACATGTCTTTTGTGTGTAATTTGAGTTAAATAGAGACAGTTGCTGTTACTGAAATGTTTCCCGTCACTATGGAAAACATTGTTTCTCTCTGCATTTACTTACACTCTGAAAGATGTTCAAAGCCACTGTGTTAAATGTAGGTAAACGTAGATCTATTACAGACTGATAAACTGGAAAAACAAATTTTCATATGGGCTGGCGATAATTAACGTACAGATGTAATCATTCTATCCACACCTGCTATAATTCAGCTCCAAAATCTCTGTCTAAAGGAGCCTGTTAGCAACGAATGAGGAAAAATGTTGGCCGAGCTTAAATCAGTCTTTTGTATTTTGTCAATCATCATTTCATCTGCCATCGAATGTCTGTCTTCCTACATGTCCGTCTGACTGCAGGAGGATTTAAAGGCTGCGGTCATGGTCATAAAGGACATCCCGGGAAGCCTCACTGGTCTTGCTGTGGCAGCACCACGGAGCAGTCGGAGTGTTTGCCCCAGAGCGTGCTGGCTGCCATTTCCCCTCGCAGCCACCTGCGAACTGTGGAGCTCTGAGGCGACGCCGAGCCGAGACCTATCAGGACGATGCGATTTCATAAAAAGATGGCAGAAATGGAAAGGTTAGAGCTGCGGGGAAGTAACCTTGAGGTTGTCGGCGTAAACCTTGGACCAACTTGAAAAGGTCAGACAAGGGAAGTGAAAGTAACCTAGTGAGGCAGGACATCAGAGTCACTGCATGTCGGGCTTAATGTGATACAGCATCCAGCCAGCTGTTCGAGACTAACAAGGGACACAGACAGTCCTCATTGTAAAAGTGCCTTTATGTGTCGGCTTATCATGCTCACGCTGGAGGAGAAAGAAGAAGCATCGATCACAGCAGCACAGAAATGTGTTTAAAGCCTTGCTGAAAGGAAGCAGAGCAACAGCTGACAGTTTACAAGTTTTTAACCTTTTAATCAGCTCGGAAGTTCTGAGGTGCTAAAATAAATTTTTGATTCATGATTTTAAGGGTCAGTAAAAAAAAACAGCCAGAATCAACAGATTGTGGAATATTTTATGTCTTTTTATATCAAACAATCAGAGGAAGTAATCCTAAATATACTTTCGTAGATATAGCCATGGTACACCACCACTCCCTACATGGCACCTTGCCTGTGTAGACAGCCAAAAATGACTGTAATGCTATTTTTCCAAAAAAAAAAATTTGATGGATTTTTCTTTATAGTTCCTTTGTTCTTTCAGTTCTGAAATAATGTAACTATTATTGTAACTGTTATGAGGTATAAGGTAGTGGAACAACAGTCTATGTGTCAAGAAATGCTTTTATGCATCTCCTTACAGTACTGTTACAAATATGGACACTTATGTTAAATAATGAGATCAATGTTTTAACAGCTGATCATGTGGGCCAAAGCTCAAGCTTCAGGGTTTTTTTTATTACTCTTGTTTCTGCATGATGTCAGTGACAGCAGATACACCTATGGATGTGGCTCTGGCTGCGGCCACAGCAGCCCCGCCCACCTGCTGTTCAAACCTGCTGTTTACAAGGGGTAGCCAATCAGAAGAAAAGCTAGCTTGAAGGGCGAGGGAAAGGAGCTAAAACAGCTCATTTCAGACAGGGATTAATTTTGAATAATGGGAATATTTGTCATATAAATATTGACTAATTACATGAGTTCCAAGTAGTTGTGTATTATAACAATACCTACTGTGTCTTCATTAGTAACAACTTAGTCATAATTGTGCCTTTTACTGGATTATTTGTATGTAATAGTCACAAAACAGGTGATTACACATAGCATTACTAATAATTCATAACTATTTCCTACAAATTTACATATTACAGCCTACTCAAGTTTTATTTCTAAGTATTAAATCAGGTAGATAAATACATTTTTGTTAAAAAATAATAATAAAACATTATGTATAGCTACAAGGAAATCATTATATGCACAACTACTGCCAAGTACTGCAAAAATATGTTTACATTTGACAACATTTCATTCAATGATTAATTTGTAAGCTAATCCATAAGGTAAGGAAAGGCCGTTGCATGGAAACCATCCAAAGTGTAAATTCCTTCGCTGTTCCAAATGCAAACATCTGATTGTTTTTGCAAGCCACAGCATCTGTCCTGTCCTGTGTGCATGTGAACAATTTTATATCCAATGGCTACAACGAAGAAACTCATTAAAATATTCACACAAAAGGTTTTTTCCTCAAGTGTCTTTAGGAATTCAACTCCTGCAAGCTTCAAGCCTTTATCCGGAAAGCACTGTGACCATGAAGGTGCAGACAGACACTGCTTAGAATACAGACTCGTATTTCTTCTGCGCGTTATAATGAGCCACTTTTTCTGTATTCAGAATGCAACATGCATGTTGCACTTGAGTGGAAGGAACATGATGAATTTTATGAAGTTGTAAAAATGAAATTTACAACTAATTTTTCTACTTGTGGGCCAATATCTGCAGAATGACAGAGAAGCTGTCACACACTGAGATCAGGAAGTGTTTCCATCAGACTCTGACTTACACATTCATCTGGATGTATTAGCAGGTAACTTGTCCTGGTGCTGTATTATTATTACTTTTTTAAAAAAAACTTGTTTACATCTAATAAAGAGGTTTTTTGTCACTTCTTGTATCATGCTTCAGTTATTTTTTGAAAATTACATATAGAATCATTTAGGAATGAATATGTTGTTTTGCATATAATACATCTGTATTATTTAATTTAGAGGGCTACTGCTTCTTAGGTCACTTTTTTGTTTTGTGGTCAGTGCAGCAGATTGTAAAGGCAAAGGCTGATAACAGGGGAGGGTGGGCAGTGGACGGCAATGACTCAGCAACAACCTTCTAGTCTGGACAGAATTCATGCATTCAAGCAGCAATGGGCTGTTTTTGGCGAAAATGTGGTGCTTTTGGGATTGTGTGGTCTGGTTGTGCCCTAAAGTGGCCCATGTGGTAAATGGTTAATATGGACCTGGTGCAACAAATAAAAAGACAAATATACGCCTATATTTAATTTATCAAAGGTAGACAGTTTATCATAAAACATATGTGGCCACTTATAGAAAAGCGGTGGCTCAGTAAGCTTTGAGTAATCTGGATGGGACCCTGAAGTGGCCGTAGTCTAACACAGCAAATGTAGCCCAATACTGTGCACTGATTAATTAGGTTGTGAGTCTAATGTGGCCCACATTTGAAATAGTAAGTATGGCCCAAATATTGTTGTAAAGGATTGTGGCACTTTCCAGATGAAAACTGTCTGAAATGTGGCCTGAAAACATAATACTTGGTAATTTGTGTGAACATTAATGTTTATAGTGAGGGCCAGGTCTGCGCCATGTTCCTTCGTTATTAACATTTAATCTTTGTAAGTCATTTTAGAAAACGTTAAGCTAAGTTTATGCCAAATTCTTTGTCTTAATCTGTTACCTGGTGTCCTGTTTACGTATAGGGGTATGGTAAGGATCACATCCACCTCTTTTTTTTTTTTTTTTTAATCCAATTTTTTGCCTTTTTCTTTTTTTTTTAATCCTCTCAAGGCAGGCGTTGCCGATTTGCAACAGTTAAAAACTAACAACCTGATTACCCCACATACATATTTTATGAGTTTTTTTTACTCAGAAGTACCACTGCAGGACTCCGTTGTGCATTAGCAACAAAAAGTTTAATTTGAGCCTGAGAGGGTTAAGGGTATTTCCTTCTTTGGAATAAAATAAAGCTACAGATTATAATTCCAAAGGTACTGGAGGTTGATTAGCTTATGATCCTCTGAGGTTGGTTGTTTCCCCTTGGTCTCAAACTCGAGCTGTTCTCATACAAGGTGAATGTGTTAACCACTACACTGTGGAATATGATTTATTCCTATAAGAATAGAAATAAAGAATTAGTTTGCACAAAGCCTCTTAGAAACTTTAACTTTGCCCTCTCTGACTTTGTAAATACTTCATAGAAATACCTCTTTCCACCACTAGGTTGCAGCAGAGAGTTATGGTTTTTTGCTCTGGTCTTCCAGAACTAATTCTCCTGATCCTCTGCGTCTGACATCAAGTTTTCCACACTTTATTCCTACAAATCATTCATAATCAGCATTTTCACGAGCCGTCTTTACCGCAGAGCTGATGAATACTGCATTATCGTTGGAAAATGTCTAAAGCGCTTTTAGACTGACTCTCTTTCTATGAAAGTTTGATGAATGGGGATCTGTTCCACTAAAAGCCACTTCACAGGAAGTTACATCAGCGATGTCAGCAGTGACACTGCTTAATTAAACACAGTGATCAGTCGGTTAACAGCAACTTGGAAACGAACGATCCCCTGATGTTCATCCTAACGCTCAGGAAGAGAAGTCATGGCTGGAAATGTTAGGACACTGCAGGTAAGGACACATGCACACATTAGATGAGGGCAGCTTTAGGTTAAGAATGATAAAGTGCTTCAAACCTGTCGTCATTATTGATTCCTCTCCTTCTCAGCCTCTGTACTTTCAGTGGACCCAATCTAAAAGAACTTGAGCGTACTCACACCAAATTAGAACAATGACAGTAAAAGGCAGGATACTCACCAGTCCTCTGAAGCACATTGAGAAGGACTTGTGCCAGACCTCATAAACCTCCTTCACCCATCATTGAGCTCTCAAGTAATGTACCTTGTAATTGAGAGACTCAGTGACCACGGTACAATATTGTCTCACAGCTGAGAGACATCTTTTCTCATATTTAATCTCTTACCTTTTGTGCCTTTTATGTTCTCACGCTTTGCCAGTTACTCTAACCCTGAGAGACAGAGAGATTCAAAGTTCAGCTCTAAATTCAGAGCCTGAATCAGGTTTTCAGCATCCAAGTGATTGAGAAGGAGGGATTGCAATTTTAAAAAACAGAATAAGTTAACATATCATGTGTTTTACATAACATCAGGTGTCAATATGTAGGATTTTTGTGGCCATATGCTACATATCTGTGGTGGGGCGTGGTCTGCGGTGCCGTGCAGGTGTGTCCGCCCTCCCTGCACGGCATCCTTAATCACGCCCGCCTAGTTAAAAACACGGGGACTCAGGGTTTGTGGTGTGTTGTGGTGAGATGTCAATAAAGATGGCTCTGAATGACACTCCGTGGTCCCGCCGTGTCTTATTCTCGCCACAAACACATTAATAACTGCATTAACAGGACTGTGCAAAAGTCTCAAGCCACCCCTAATTTCTTTATATTTTGCTGGG